GCAATTTGTAGCAAACTACTTTTAAAAAAAGTTGCTTTAAAGAAACATTCCGATGATACCAAAATGTGTGAGCAACGACAAAGTTCAAGAGACAATGGAAATCAAAGGTACACTTATACTTAACACCAGGAAGTCACAGTTGCAAAAAATGAGGAAAGGGGGCTTAGAAAATGGCTGCTAGGTCAAATTAGAGGCAAAAGAGACAGAAAAAAAACACATAACCTATCTGGCGGGATAGAATGTATGGATGACTGAGCAGCGTTTGGGAAATATAAAAAACGACAAAATTTATTAGTAGCTACAGAGGGCAGAAAATTGTGGAGAGCCATGATCGCCAACGTCGTGAATGGACACGGTAGATAGAAAAAGAGGCTTACAGACAACTTTTTATTTAATTATTTCAACGCAAGGAAGGCGACAAAGCCTCTAAGGTTAAAGAGGTTACTAAGGATATAAGTCAGTAGAGAGAAGGAAACTGGAGAGAAAGGACAATAAACAGAACAGGAATCAAAGATCCTGAAGATGATTGACATTGCATTTAAATTCTTGTAGATTCTAGAAAAGAATCTATATTCACATATTTGGTTAAAATTTACTAAAATAATGAAATCTCCCTGACAATCAAGTACAGCACTTAAATTCCTATAGCTTGGATAACAGAAAGGGAATCCACTGTCATGGAAATATTTCTAGAAAAGCCGCAGGGAGGGTACCTTACGGCGCTGGGAAAGTTATTGAACCCGTGATGTCAGGTCAAGTTCGATAATATTGCAGATTCTTCAATTTTACCAATAATCTGTGAATACGTATCAGAAACATCAGGACAAATGTGAGAATAATATTTCATACACAGACAAAGGGTAAACTTATAAAGGGCAAGGCAGATTCGAGCGAGAAAAAGTGTTTTACTTAAGACTTAGCAACTGATTTGATATAAATATCCCAATTCATTTATACTATTTACATCATTCCAACTCTTCTCCTCATCTTTATTGTTTTATTTACGACGTTTCGGCCGCTGTACACTCCGACCTTCTTCAGGCGATATACGCTGGACTTTAAAATCGAAACTTTTATTTAGTCCACGAGAGTAGATTGTTCTAGTTCTACGTGCCATACCTTTTTTTTAATATGTGAGTTTCGGTTAATTCAACTCTCCAGGTTTCTGTACCCTCTACTGTAACCAAGTATTGAACTCACAACTCACAACAAAAAAGTTAGTTGAAGCCAAAAAGTGAGTTAACCCAAAGGTTAACTCACTTTTTGGCTTCAACTAACTTTTTTATCCAATGGAGATATCAGTGTGTGAATTTTTAGGATTTGTAAACCTAATGTCGCAGTAATTTTTTTTTTTACCAGAGCTTATATTAAAAAAATTTGTATTATTGTAATTTTCCTGTAGTTCTCTGTATTACTTCTTCCCATATTGTAGTCATATCTATGTTTGTCAGGCTTAGATTTTTGTGGCCTAGCATATGCGCTGATTCCTTAAGTTTTCGTATCTTCCAGTGATGTTCTCTCTCTATTATTTCGACTTCATCGCATAGAGGGCGGTGCTCTCAGCCATGCCTGATTTTTTTTTATTTCCCCTCGTGTTACGATTTTACGGTGGTTTAAAATATAGAAGGAGAAAGCCAGAAGATGGAGATCACATCGCGCAAGATCAAAATGAGGCAATATGGACGTCAAGTTGAGCAAGAGATCACCATTCAGTGGGTAGTGCCTTACAATACATATTTGTTGCGAGTATTCAACTATCATATCAATGTTGAAATCTGGTCATCACTTCATTCAGTCAAGCATTGCATCAAATACATATCAAAGGGGTCAAATCAAGCTGTTTTGGCACAAGGAAATGACTCCTATCCAAAATATAGAAAACCAAAAACGTGAAGGTCACATCGGTAAGATCATTGAGTAATACTGAAATGCATTATTTTTCTCCACAAATTATAACAATGATTTAAAACCAATCATCATTTTCTTACAAAACAGAATGAATGATACGCAGCAAGGCGCGGGTAATTCGGCTAGTATATATATATATATATATATATATATATATATATATATATATTAATTGACTTAAAATATTTTTTTTTCGCTACACAGTTCTAACCATGTTTCAAAAATAGAATCTAAAGCTCCGAATTTAATTTTGTAATTAATATTATATAATTAATGCTCTGTAAATTTACATTGAGCACTATTCTGTAAAAATAAAAATATCTATAAGAACACCGGATTATATATCTTACTGTTCTTTCTTTATATATATATATATATATATATATATATATATGTGTGTGTGTGTGTGTGTGTGTGTGTGTGTGTGTAAAGACACACGCATTGTCGCGAGAATTCAATGTCCACATTCACTTGCCGATGGCGATTGATGAAGTCAGGCGTGAAACAAACTGCAATTGTAGGTATGAAGGATTAATCCTTGTGTTCACATTAATAACGTGTCATTCCTAAAAATGGCTATTAACGATTATGGCTCTCCACAATTTTCTGTCCATTGCAGCTCTAAATAAATTCTGTCGTTTCATTATTTCTAAACCTTGTTCCGCCATCCATTTTCTAAACCTCGTCAAGTATGTTACGCGCTGCTTTCCTCAGTCTGTCCTGCGAGTAACAAATTTTCCATGCCCTCAATCCTCATTACGTTCCCTGATGTTATTCTCAATATCCTTCTGTAGAACCAAATTTCTCTTGATTTAAGTCTCTTCCTATGAGCAGATTGTCCAGAATTCACTGTCATATAGGAAGACATATATCACGTAAGAGTTCTGTATTATTTTCTTTGCTGCCAACGAAATTTTCCTGTCTCTTCATACTATGCTTAGCTTTTGGAATGCAACTTTGGCCATCCCATTATGTCTTCAGATCTCAGTGTCGCACTTTCCGTCCTCTGTTAGAACATTTCCTAGATATTTAAAATTTGTTCTTGCTTGATTTTGGTATCGATTTGTAATTATCATTTTGGGCTCATCCTTTTTTTTTTGCAGCGATCCATTCTGCCTTCTTGTAGATTATACTTATTCCTTTCTTCTCGCCTTCATTCACCTTCATTTTTGACTCTCCCAATGCATCTTCGGATTTCAATGTCGCATTTTCCGAGCTCTGTTAGAACATTTTACTTACAAGGTCTTTTTAACCGCCGTAGGAAACTTCGCCGTACAGAATTTTTGCCGTAAGTCAATTTCGCCGCATTTTTTTTCGATACCTTTATATTGAACGTCTCCTTTGTAATTGTTGTGGGGCTCTCCCCTTTTTACATAAGATGGACTCGTCCAAAGTATACTTCTACTGACAGAGAGAATACCTGCTGCAAAGATACGTGGACATACGTTGAGATACGTTGAGACAGGTGAGAGATACGGAGACAGACACAGGGTATTCTCAGAGAGTTATACAAGAGTCCAGAGAGAGAGAGAGAGATTACGGCTTTACTTACAGAGACTTGTACATATACCTTCTACTAACCCGCATTCCTGGACTACTAATCTTCACTTCAAGTCTGTATTCTTACGTTTAGTACACTTATTTTTCTATCTTAATTACTGGCGTTGTTTATTTATTTGTGCAGGATTCCATTCACGGAATCCACAACAGTAATAATGTTCAATTTAATATGCGGAGTACCTTGTTATCAAGTATAGATTAATGTCTTCTTTTACATGTTCAAACATCAGAAAAGAAATTAAAAAGTAAACATTTATTTAAAAAATAAAAGAATAAAAATATATCAAATTAACAAAGAAATAATTTAAAATGTGTGCAAATTCCAAGCAATGCTTCGTAAATAATGTTTTTTTTGTTTTGTTTTGTTTGTTTTTTGGGTTTTTTTTTTTTTTTTTGGACTCTAATGAAGCATTTTCCGTAATATTATGTTAACAGTTAAGCCTATAATATGAAATTGCGTGACGTAAGTTCTAGTGTCAAGTTGAAATATTTGCCCTTCTCACTAATGAGGATGGATAATGTAGGATTTTGATCCTATAACTTCGCTTATTAAAATGTTTAAATCGAAATAACAATAGTGCGAGCCAGATGTAGCTGATAAACAAGGTACTTCGCATATTGAAAAAAATGCGGCGAAATTATCTTACGGCAAAACCCCTATACGGCGAAAATTCCCGAGGCGATTTTTCTTACGGCAAAATTGATTAGGGCGAATGTTCCTAGAACCCTTTTTAACCTGGGAATCAAACGAGGTCATTGGGTCAGAAAGAAAAGCTGTTCAGTATTTTTTTATACTTGCTTTAGGGTGCTTCTAATTCTCGCACAATGAGGAGGTGCTGTCTGGAGGAGAGTATGCCTAAAGCTGCGCCTTTTTTCATGACCCCAGTCACAAATGACTGAGAAGCATACCCAGAACACTGCACTAGAAACCAGAAAACCTCATGAAAACCATAAATCGGTTCGCAATCCGACAGACTCATTCAGTTCAATTAAGTTTCTCAAAGGAATTATGTTTGAATATAATTGCCCCTTTGTCGTTAGACCTTTTATTCATGTTGCAAACTTTCTAATTGGCTTGGAAAATCTTTTTTTCTGTCCCAGCCATTTATGTTAATTGCCCGTTAAATACGAACGCTGGCTGAGGAAAGCGCAAAAGAGGCCATTGCTTCCTACAATAAATTTTCCTGACCCACCAGAGACGCCAATAAAACCACGTGACCTAGTCTGTGGGCGGCGAAAGATTTTTACCCTCTTAATCTCTTTGTTAGTACAGGATGGACACTGAGGTGAAAGTCTCATTAGAATGTTTGTTTAAAGGACTTTTGCAATTTACGCTTACAGAGATTAAGCCATTTCTAGTGTCTTCTTTTTTTTGTCGTGATAATTCAACCCCCCCAACCACCACCAATGTTGTAAAAGAACAAATAGGAGATGAGAACGGATGATGAAGGGAAAATATACTAATGAAATTAATGATAATTAAAAAAGAAAAAAGAGCGATGGAAAATAAGAGGAGAGGATAAAATAAACTGTTAAGATGATAAAAGAAAGAAAGAAATAAAGAAAGAAAGAAATAAAGAAAGAAAGAAAGAAAGAAAGAAAGAAAGAAAGAGAGAAAGAAAGAAAGAAAGAAAGTGGGGAGTAGATGTAAGAAAATAGGAAGGGAAGAAAAGGATTGAGATGAATAGAAAGAAAGAAAGAAAGAAAAGAAAGAAAGAAAGAAAGAAAGAAAGAAAGAAAGAAAGAAAATGGGGAGTAGATGTAAAAAAGAAAATAGGAAGGGAAGAAAAGGATTGAGATGAATAGAAAGAAAGAAAGAAAGAAAGAAAGAAAGAAAGAAAGAAAGAAAGTGGGGAGTAGATGTAAGAAAATAGGAAGGGAAGAAAAGGATTGAAATGAATAGAAAGAAAGAAAGAAAGAAAGAAAGAAAGAAAGAAAGAAAATGGGGAGTAGATGTAAGAAAATAGGAAGGGAAGAAAAGGATTGAGATGAATAGAAAGAAAGAAAGAAAGAAAGAAAGAAAGAAAGAAAGAAAGAAAGAAAGAAAATGGGGAGTAGAATAAGAAAATAGCAAGGGAAGAAAAGGATTGAAATGAATAGAAAGAAAGAAAGAAAAAAATAAAGAAAGAAAAGAAAGAAAGTGGGGAGTAGATGTAAGAAAATAGGAAGGAAGAAAAGGATTGAAATGAATAGAAAGAAAGAAAGAAAGAAAGAAAGAAAGAAAGAAAGAAAAAAGAAAGAAAATGGGGAGTAGATGTAAGAAAATAGGAAGGGAAGAAAAGGATTGAGATGAATAGAAAGAAAAGAAAGAAAGAAAGAAAGAAAAGAAAGAAAAAAAAAGAAAGAAAGAAAGAAAGAAAATGGGGAGTAGAATAAGAAAATAGCAAGGGAAGAAAAGGATTGAAATGAATAGAAAGAAAGAAAGAAAGAAAGAAAGAAAGAAAGAAAGAAAGAAAGAAAGAAAGAAAGAAAATGGGGAGTAGATGTAAGAAAATAGGAAGGGAAGAAAAGGATTGAGATGAATAGAAAGAAAGAAAGAAAGAAAGAAAGAAAGAAAGAAAATGGGGAGTAGAATAAGAAAATAGCAAGGGAAGAAAAGGATTGAAATGAATAGAAAGAAAGAAAGAAAGAAAGAAAGAAAGAAAGAAAGAAAGAAAGAAAATGGGGAGTAGATGTAAGAAAATAGGAAGGGAAGAAAAGGATTGAGATGAATAGAAAGAAAGAAAGAAAGAAAGAAAGAAAGAAAGAAAGAAAGAAAGAAAGAAAGAAAGAAAGAAAATGGGGAGTAGAATAAGAAAATAGCAAGGGAAGAAAAGGATTGAAATGAATAGAAAGAAAGAAAGAAAGAAAGAAAGAAAGAAAGAAAGAAAGAAAATGGGGAGTAGATGTAAGAAAATAGGAAGGGAAGAAAAGGATTGAGATGAATAGAAAGAAAGAAAGAAAGAAAGAAAGAAAGAAAGAAAGAAAGAAAGAAAATGGGGAGTAGAATAAGAAAATAGCAAGGGAAGAAAAGGATTGAAATGAATAGAAAGAAAGAAAGAAATAAAGAAAGAAAGAAAGAAAGAAAGAAAGAAAGAAAGAAAGAAAGAAAGAAAGTGGGGAGTAGATGTAAGAAAATAGGAAGGGAAGAAAAGGATTGAGATGAATAGAAAGAAAGAAAGAAAGAAAGAAAGAAAGAAAGAAAGAAAGAAAATGGGGAGTAGAATAAGAAAATAGCAAGGGAAGAAAAGGATTGAAATGAATAGAAAGAAAGAAAGAAAGAAAGAAAGAAAGAAAGAAAGAAAGAAAGAAAATGGGGAGTAGATGTAAGAAAATAGCAAGGGAAGAAAAGATTTGAGATGAATAAGAAAGAAAGAAAGAAAGAAAGAAAGAAAGATAGTGTTGAGGGGCTCTCCCCTTTTTACACAAATGGACTCACCCAGTATATACGTATACTACGGCTACGTGAAGACCCGAGAGAGCAAGGTTTCGTTCGAGGAGGTAGACAGGGCCTGAATCTGTCAAGGCGGTTTCAAAAAGGCTATATTTTTTGGCCGAGCCTACGGGCTCGGGGGTACCCACACTAAACCGGCCTTGTGCCATATTCAATCACTGTGGGTGGGTTGATAAATAGCGAGCAAGACCTCCGAGTCTAGCTGTCGTGATACAGTCTTTGACAGTAAGCGACGACTGTCAAACTCTCTGCATTAGCAGAGAGGAACCCGGACGAAGCTTTGCCGAAGGGCAAGGTTTCGTCCGGAGAGGTAGACAGGGCCTGAACCCGTCTAGGCGGGTTCAAAGGCTATATTTTTGGCCGAGCCTACGGGCTCGGAGATATCCACATTAAACCGGCCTTGTGCCACATTCAATCCTCGTGAGTGGATCGATAAATACCGAGCAAGGCCGAAGAGTCGAGTCGAGTCCAGAGTGACAGGTTGTAGGTAACCGGAAGAGTGAGGGGTGAGGTAACAGCGTTTGTAGGAGTCACAGCGAGCGAGCACGTAGACTCAGTCAGAAGTCATACAGCGATACTTCAATACCAAAGACTGTATATATATTTTGCTACTAACCCGTATTCCTGGAACTACTAACCTGATTTACCAGTTTGTATTATTACGTTAATACATTATTTTCCTATATTCATTCCTGGCGACTGTTACCGGATTTCCAACCGGAATCCACAACAGAAAGAAAGAAAGAAAGAAAGAAAGAACAAGCAAAGCGAGTGAGACAAAAACAGTCTACAAAGCCGAGGAAAACAAAAAGATTTTAAATAATCACGTAAAACTTTTGTGTCGATGATAACAGGATCTGAAAGAAAAAAGGCTATCGAATGAAGAAGCAAACGTTTTCTTCCAAAGAAAGACGTTCATGTGAACGAATAATGAAGGAATTAATAAGAAATTGCAAAAGAAAATCGAAAGAACTGAGGTTAAGAATGGCCGTAAAAGAAGGAAGGCAGATGATTGGGTCAGTGATCGCCAGATAAAATATTTCAATAGTAGCCGCAGTAGTAGTAGTAGTAATACTAGTAGTTGTAGGAGCAATAGTAATAAGAGCAGTAATAGTAGTAGTAGTAGCAGTAGCAGTGATAGTTGTTGCGGTGATCGGAGTGGTGGCTTTGGTCGTTGTCTTGTTTTTGTGGTGGTGGTGGTGGTGGTGGTGGTGGTGATGGTTGTATAATTAGCTGAAGGGGGTGGTTGTTTGGGAGTTTGCTGAGCTGACCGTAGTGGAGTTGACCATTGGAGATATTGGTTGTGGTGTCTGCTACGGTGGTGAAGAGGAAGAAATGTTGATATGACACGGACAACAAAAGATTGAAAAAGAAAAAAGAATAAAGAGAAAAGAAGAGAGAAAAGAAAGAAAAGAGAAAAACGAGAAAGGATATTAAGGAAGAAAAAGAAAACGAGGAAGAGAAAGGGAACACGAGAAATAAAGAGAAAGGGGACACAAAGAAGAAAAAAAGGGAACACGAGGAAGAAAGAGAAAAGAAACACGAGGAAGAAAGAGAAAGGGGACACAAGGAAGAAAGAGAAAGGGGACACGAGGAAGAAAGAGAAAGGGGACACGAGGAAGAAAGAGAAAAGAAAAAGGTAAGTAAGGAAGACAGAGGAAGGAAACTAGAGGAAGAAAGATGAATGGAATACGAAGAAAAAAATGGAAAGGAATCTGAAACTTTGTAATACGAAGAAAGAAATCACGAAAAAAGAAGAAAAGAGACGTGAATATTCGAATAATGAATGAAAAAAAAAAGAAAAGTAGGAAATAAAAAAGACAAAGTTCAACAGGAAAAAGAGAGAGAAGGACAGAAAAAGGAAGCAAAAAAGAAAAAAAAAATGTTAATATTTTTTCATAAATTTGCTCCAGAAAGGCAATAAAGTCACTAAAGCACAATATTAGAAAATATTAAAAAATAAACGTAATAAAGGAGAAAGGACAATAAAAAAAATAAAAGATTGACATTGCATTTAAATTTCAGAAGATCAAAGTTGGCTGTAAAGCATGGAGTTGGAAGAGTGTTCCACAAGTGAAAAGTGAGTGAGAACAATAGAAGAGTAATCAGGAAGACAGTAGATAACGATTGACATTGCATTTAAATTTTTGAAGATCATAGTTGGCTGTAAAGCATGGAGTTGGAAGAGTGTTCCACAAGTGAGAAGTGAGTGAGAACAATAGAAGAGTAATCAGGAAGACAATAGATAACGATTGACATTGCATTTAAATATTTGAAGATCAAAGTTGGCTGTAAAGCATGGAGTTGGAAGAGTGTTCCACAAGTGAGAAGTGAGCGAGAACAATAGAAGAGTAATCAGGAAGACAGTAGATAACGATTGACATTGCATTTAAATTTTTGAAGATCATAGTTGGCTGTAAAGCATGGAGTTGGAAGAGTGTTCCACAAGTGAGAAGTGAGTGAGAACAATAGAAGAGTAATCAGGAAGACAATAGATAACGATTGACATTGCATTTAAATATTTGAAGATCAAAGTTGGTTGTAAAGCATGGAATTGGAAGAGTGTTCCACAAGTGAGAAGTGAGCGAGAACAATAGAAGAGTAATCAGGAAGACAGTAGATAACGATTGACATTGCATTTAAATTTTTAAAGATCAAAGTTGGCGGTAAAGCATGGAGTTGGAAGAGTGTTCCACAAGTGAGAAGTGAGCGAGAACAATAGAAGAGTAATCAGGAAGACAGCAGAAAACGATTGACATTGCATTTAAATTTTTTAAAGATCAAAGTTGGCTGTAAAGCATGGAGTTGGAAGAGTGTTCCACAAGTGAGAAGTGAGCGAGAACAATAGAAGAGTAATCAGGAAGACAGCAGAAAACGATTGACATTGCATTTAAATTTTTAAAGATCAAAGTTGGCTGTAAAGCATGGAGTTGGAAGAGTGTTCTACGAGTGAGAAGTGAGCGAGAACAATAGAAGAGTAATCAGGAAGACAGCAGAAAACGATTGACATTGCATTTAAATTTTTAAAGATCAAAGTTGGCTGTAAAGCATGGAGTTGGAAGAGTGTTCCACAAGTGAGAAGTGAGCGAGAACAATAGAAGAGTAATCAGGAAGACAGCAGAAAACGATTGACATTGCATTTAAATTTTAAAGATCAAAGTTGGCTGTAAAGCATGGAGTTGGAAGAGTGTTCCACAAGTGAGAAGTGAGCAAGAACAATAGAAGAGTAATCAGGAAGACAGCAGAAAACGATTGACATTGCATTTAAATTTTTAAAGATCAAAGTTGGCTGTAAAGCATGGAGTTGGAAGAGTGTTCCACAAGTGAGAAGTGAGCGAGAACAATAGAAGAGTAATCAGGAAGACAGCAGAAAACGATTGACATTGCATTTAAATTTTTGAAGATCAAAGTTGGCTGTAAAGCATGGAGTTGGAAGAGTGTTCCACAAGTGAGAAGTGAGCGAGAACAATAGAAGAGTAATCAGGAAGACAGTAGAAAACGATTGACATTGCATTTAAATTTTTTAAAGATCAAAGTTGGCTGTAAAGCATGGAGTTGGAAGAGTGTTCCACAAGTGAGAAGTGAGCGAGAACAATAGAAGAGTAATCAGGAAGACAGTAGAAAACGATTGACATTGCATTTAAATTTTAAAGATCAAAGTTGGCTGTAAAGCATGGAGTTGGAAGAGTGTTCCACAAGTGAGAAGTGAGCGAGAACAATAGAAGAGTAATCAGGAAGACAGACAGAAAACGATTGACATTGCATTTAAATTTTTAAAGATCAAAGTTGGCTGTAAAGCATGGAGTTGGAAGAGTGTTCCACAAGTGAGAAGTGAGCGAGAACAATAGAAGAGTAATCAGGAAGACAGTAGAAAACGATTGACATTGCATTTAAATTTTTAAAGATCAAAGTTGGCTGTAAAGCATGGAGTTGGAAGAGTGTTCCACAAGTGAGAAGTGAGCGAGAACAATAGAAGAGTAATCAGGAAGACAGCAGAAAACGATTGACATTGCATTTAAATTTTTAAAGATCAAAGTTGGCTGTAAAGCATGGAGTTGGAAGAGTGTTCTACAAGTGAGAAGTGAGCGAGAACAATAGAAGAGTAATCAGGAAGACAGCAGAAAACGATTGACATTGCATTTAAATTTTTAAAGATCAAAGTTGAAAACGATTGACATTGCATTGGTAAAAGCATGGAGTTGGAAGAGTGTTCAAGTGAGAAGTGAGCGAGAACAATAGAAGAGTAATCAGGAAGACAGTAGAAAACGATTGACATTGCATTTAAATTTTAAAAAGATCAAAGTTGGCTGTAAAGCATGGAGTTGGAAGAGTGTTCCACAAGTGAGAAGTGAGCGAGAACAATAGAAGAGTAATCAGGAAGACAGTAGAAAACGATTGACATTGCATTTAAATTTTTAAAGATCAAAGTTGGCTGTAAAGCATGGAGTTGGAAGAGTGTTCCACAAGTGAGAAGTGAGCGAGAACAATAGAAGAGTAATCAGGAAGACAGCAGAAAACGATTGACATTGCATTTAAATTTTTAAAGATCAAAGTTGGCTGTAAAGCATGGAGTTGGAAGAGTGTTCCACAAGTGAGAAGTGAGCGAGAACAATAGAAGAGTAATCAGGAAGACAGTAGAAAACGATTGACATTGCATTTAAATTTTTAAAGATCAAAGTTGGCTGTAAAGCATGGAGTTGGAAGAGTGTTCCACAAGTGAGAAGTGAGCGAGAACAATAGAAGAGTAATCAGGAAGACAGTAGAAAACGATTGACATTGCATTTAAATTTTTAAAGATCAAAGTTGGCTGTAAAGCATGGAGTTGGAAGAGTGTTCTACAAGTGAGAAGTGAGCGAGAACAATAGAAGAGTAATCAGGAAGACAGTAGAAAAAACGATTGACATTGCATTTAAATTTTTAAAGATCAAAGTTGGCTGTAAAGCATGGAGTTGGAAGAGTGTTCCACAAGTGAGAAGTGAGCGAGAACAATAGAAGAGTAATCAGGAAGACAGTAGAAAACGATTGACATTGCATTTAAATTTTTAAAGATCAAAGTTGGCTGTAAAGCATGGAGTTGGAAGAGTGTTCTACAAGAGAAGTGAGCGAGAACAATAGAAGAGTAATCAGGAAGACAGTAGAAAACGATTGACATTGCATTTAAATTTTTAAAGATCAAAGTTGGCTGTAAAGCATGGAGTTGGAAGAGTGTTCTACAAGTGAGAAGTGAGCGAGAACAATAGAAGAGTAATCAGGAAGACAGTAGAAAACGATTGACATTGCATTTAAATTTTTAAAGATCAAAGTTGGCTGTAAAGCATGGAGTTGGAAGAGTGTTCCACAAGTGAGAAGTAATGAGCAGAGAACAATGAGAAGATTTAAATCAGGAAGACAGTAGAAAACGATTGACATTGCATTTAAATTTTTAAAGATCAAAGTTGGCTGTAAAAGCATGGAGTTGGAAGAGTGTTCCACAAGTGAGAAGTGAGCGAGAACAATAGAAGAGTAATCAGGAAGACAGTAGATAACGATTGACATTGCATTTAAATTTTTAAAGATCAAAGTTGGCTGTAAAGCATGGAGTTGGAAGAGTGTTCCACAAGTGAGAAGTGAGCGAGAACAATAGAAGAGTAATCAGGAAGACAGTAGAAAACGATTGACATTGCATTTAAATTTTTAAAGATCAAAGTTGGCTGTAAAGCATGGAGTTGGAAGAGTGTTCCACAAGTGAGAAGTGAGCGAGAACAATAGAAGAGTAATCAGGAAGACAGTAGAAAACGATTGACATTGCATTTAAATTTTTAAAGATCAAAGTTGGCTGTAAAGCATGGAGTTGGAAGAGTGTTCTACAAGTGAGAAGTGAGCGAGAACAATAGAAGAGTAATCAGGAAGACAGTAGAAAACGATTGACATTGCATTTAAATTTTTAAAGATCAAAGTTGGCTGTAAAGCATGGAGTTGGAAGAGTGTTCTACAAGTGAGAAGTGAGCGAGAACAATAGAAGAGTAATCAGGAAGACAGTAGAAAACGATTGACATTGCATTTAAATTTTTAAAGATCAAAGTTGGCTGTAAAGCATGGAGTTGGAAGAGTGTTCCACAAGAGAAGTGAGCGAGAACAATAGAAGAGTAATCAGAAGACAGTAGAAAACGATTGACATTGCATTTAAATTTTTAAAGATCAAAGTTGGCTGTAAAGCATGGAGTTGGAAGAGTGTTCTACGAGTGAGAAGTGAGCGAGAACAATAGAAGAGTAATCAGGAAGACAGTAGAAAACGATTGACATTGCATTTAAATTTTTAAAAAAGATCAAAGTTGGCTGTAAAGCATGGAGTTGGAAGAGTGTTCCACAAGTGAAGTGAGAAGTAAGCGAAAAGATTGAACAATAGAAGAGTAATCAGGAAGACAGTAGAAAACGATAACGACATTGCATTTAAATTTTTAAAGATCAAAGTTGGCTGTAAAGCATGGAGTTGGAAGAGTGTTCTACGAGTGAGAAGTGAGCGAGAACAATAGAAGAGTAATCAGGAATCAGGAAGACAGTAAAGATCAAAAAACATGGAGTTTGACATTGCAATTTAAATTTTTTAAAGATCAAAGTTGGCTGTAAAGCATGGAGTTGGAAGAGTGTTCCACAAGTGAGAAGTGAGCGAGAACAATAGAAGAGTAATCAGGAAGACAGTAGATAACGATTGACATTGCATTTAAATTTTTAAAGA